TGCAGTCTGCCTCCTCAATCTTTTGTGTTATAATTTTATCAATAGTTTGAGTTAACATACTCTTGTGATCTTGCATTATTGTCATTTTATATACCATATAGAATATATAATGAAAAAATTAATTGCGCAAAACTTATATCCGTCATGCTATATACATGTTATCAGGTTGCGTTATTACGAGTTTGACAATCTGATTGTAATTTGTGTGTCAGCCAGAGTATATACACAGTATTGGAAAATGATATAGATTATGCTATCGATTAATACTACCAAATATGTATGCTAAGTATATTGCGTAAATGCTATTGATAATGTTATCAGACTATGCTATCAAAAAATATTATCGAATACGTTATATTAAAGTATACTGATTTTGATTGCCATAATTTTTGATACCAGAAATATGTTCTGAGAACATACATAGTAAAAAAATAATTAAATATATAGGAAGACAGATATATAACTCCCATAATTATTATATAATATTATCGAAGTTATACACCCCAAAAACATATATCAAAACAGATATATAACTCCCATTTTTCTCTCTACATAGTAGAGTTACTGAACTTATATACTCCGAGCACATACTATCAACTGGATATATAACTTTCATAATTCTTATAATATATTACTAAACTTATATACTCAAAGTATTTACTAATTAAGATCGCAATCCTTTTTATTCATCTCACTAAAACTTGATGCATTTTTTTTTGATATCTCTGTGTACTGACTGAAAAAATAATCCAAACTATATTATAATAATATAATCAAACAAAGATTGATTCATAATATATAAAAAACCAAATACAAAAATGAGTGAACAAAGCACACAACTCGAGCGGTACGGAGGCAGGGAAACTTTAGCCAGAATCCCAACTCGCAATAATATTATTTCAGAATGTGATAATGGGTTAACTGCTATACTCCAACAAAATTTATCCAATAAAAAACCTATACACTTCATGCCCAATGATGTAAGTGATGCCACTGAATATATAAATATGGTATCTATATATATTCTACATATTTACAGCACTTTGATTAATGGGCAAAAGACTAGAGTAGATATTACAGATATCAAATCTTTCTTCGATGTTGTCGTCCCAGATGGAGAATCACTAGCTATATTTAAAAATAGTTTAGTTAAAATTGTGTCTACAACTCTCAAAGGAATATCAAAATTTGAAACCAAAATTATCGATGCTTTCCCAGTTCATGGTTACCATACAGAAAAGAAACCATACATTCGTATAACAACATGGAATCAATATAATTGATATAATGCATTGAAAGCAGTTTGTGAGTCTGGCTTAGAAACTGCATCTGATGATTTAAATTGTAAGTATTATTATTGAAAAATAGCCCGTGAAAAAAGACTGTCTCTTTCTAGTTGGGTGACATTATATGATTATATACATGATAAAAACTTATTTCAAGTATCTGTAGATGATTATAAACCAATCGATGAGAATGAATATAAAAACCAATTAATTGCTCAAGCTTTATTCTGAGATAAAATACTTGTTCTTACATGGAATATAGAAACACATAGTAGTCATGGAATGGAAGATTTACCTATAGCGAAAAATGAAGAGGATTGAGTTTTTATGATTTGTATGACTATACATTGGAAAGATGATTCCAATTCATTGACACAAATATGTTTAGTTGATGTGGAGACGAAACCAGATCCTAGGTGAATCACAGTGATATGTGGAAATCAAACCAATTTGCTTAAGGTATTTGCATTATGTTGGGAATATTTAGCTCCCGATATACAGATAGGTTTTAATGACTCGCAATATAATTGGTCTTTTGTCGTAGAAAAAACTAAGAATTTAGGAATTCTTGAATGGATGTTTAATTATATGTTCCTGGAGCCATTAAGCATTGAAAAAATTACAAAATGGCAATATCAATATAATATGATAAAAATAAACGATGCAAACTTCTATTTGAAACATCTCAAAATCCCTGTGTGTGACTATTGATGTTCACCCCTGTTTTAAGAAATTATATTCTAAAGCTGAGAAAAGTAGTCTTAGGTTTTATCTGGAAGAGTGTAAACTCGACAACAAAGTAGATTTACCTATTTACCGTATAAATAAATATTATGAAAAAGCATTAAAAGAAATAAATAATACAACGGCTGAACAGATACGTGAAGTGGCTGAATACTACATTAATGATGCTCTTAGCTGTCAGCGATTAATGGTCAAGCATAATGTAATCAATGAATATAGAGAGAAAGTTTCTATATCATTTCTATCTTTATTTGATGCATATTATTTTGCTGATGGAATAAAGATAAAAAATCTTTTAGCTAGTCGTGCATGGGGACTAGGGATTTTAAATACCATGATTCCACAAAAGCAAACAGAAAGTGGTAAATATCTTGGGGCATATATATTTTCACCAGAAAAGGGACTTGAAAATAAACATCCTGTAATCAGTCTTGATTACGCATCACTATATCTAAGTCTTATTATGACATATAACCTCTCTCCTGATAAAATAATTTTATCCCATGATCATGCAATATCTATAGCACATAGTGAGAAAAAGCTCCATAGAATTTAATTCAAGTTTAATGGTCGTAATATTATTGCATGGTCAGTAAAACATGAAAATCAATCAGAAATAGAAGGACTTTATGTAATAGTATTGAAAGAACTACTTACGAAGTGGAATAAGATGAAGAAATGTCTTGCTCTATTAAGTGAAAAAAAGAAAATATGGAATTAATATTGAGTAATATAGAAGGGAAGCAAACGATACTGGAGGTTATTGAATATATCTTGAAAAATGAAGAAGAGAAAAATCGTGATAAACTTACTAAAAAATTACATCCTTTTATTAATAAAAATAACCATGAATTTATGGTAGAATATAACTCTGTTTGCTTCGATCATGCCTGTTTAAATTCAAAGCAGACTGCTTTAAAAGTTTATATGAATACATTCTATAGTGAGGCTGGAAATAATGAATCACTTTTCTTCTCACTTCAACTTGCTGAAGGGATTATATCAGCTGGTCAATGGAATATTAAGCTTGTAGCAGATTTTGTTAAAAATAAAGGGTTCAAAATAAAATATGGGGATACTGATTCTTTATATTTAGTCTGCCCAGAAGAATATTTTCAAGAATGCGATACAGCTTATGATAATGAAAATGTAATCTTGAAAGAAAAATACTGGAATGAAATGGTAAAAATTTCAATGAGAGTAATGGGGAAGATTTGTGATGAGGTAAATGAATTTCTGAAAGAAGATAACAGGTGTATTTATCTCAAAATGACTTATGAAGAGGTTTTATTTCCAGTAGTATTTACAGGTAAGAAAAAATATTACAGTATTAAACATATAGAAGAACCTAACTTTGATTCAAATCCAGATAAGCTATTTATTAGAGGTGTAGATATTGTGAAATGAGAACATTTTAAGCTTTTTCGCAAAATAGGTAAGAAAATTATGTGAGAATCTATGGAAATTGATAATAAAACATTATACCAGATTGTTAAAGAGGTCCTTAAAAACACAGTGAAATATTTATCTCAAATAGATATTAATGAATGTATTTGAACTTATGCTTGGAAACCTGATAAAGATAATAAGTCTGTTAAATATTTCATCTCTTGAATTAAATCTAATCATGCTCGTGAGATTGAGGAATTCAAACAGCTTATAAAAAAAGAATTAATATCTAATCCATATCTTTATAATATCCCAGAACCTGAAGAGCATTTTGAGTGTATAGTGATAGAAAGAGAAGATCACTATAATGAGTATGGGAAGAAAATATCATGGAAAGTAGGGAATTGTATGGAATACCCAAATGTGATGAAAAAACTTAACAAAAAGATAGATATTAATTATTACCTGAAGAGTGTAGTTGGTCTCTGTGCCAGATTTATAAATAGTGATAAATGTTTTGAATCACCTACTGATTGTGAATCTTTAATAAACATTACTGCTCCTGATGAATTCTGGACAAAAAAAGATGAATTAGAACAGAAATCAGCAGAGAGGTGGATTAAGAAATATATCAAAAATTTACGTAATACACCAAAAAAAGATGAAGCTATTATCTCCCATTTATAAAAAAATGCTATTACACATGCCAAAAAAATATGTCTTGGTATTAGCAAAGCTGACATAATCAGGCTTTCAGGCTCCTCTACTAGGTATAATAATTATCTTAATGCATTAGATAAAATTGCAGATTCTATTTGTTCAAAATTATTGGATCTACTTTCAAAATTGTCTAAGTTTAATGTAGAATATAGAAATGTGATGTATGATTTAATTACGCAGGCGCAAAAACGCAAACCCAAAATTATAATTCTGGAACAATATATACTTCTATACAATTTGAAATCAGAGTGTCGAGAATTAATAGATTTCCGGAATACATGGCATAGGGTGATTGGTCTTGAGATTGCTCGTTTCCAAGCATTATCATTTATACATAACAGTCAAAAAAGATAACTCATCTGAAGCAGAAATTGATGAGATTATTAACCTACATTGTTAAGTATTATTGGTTGGAATTGCGACACCCACTAAAGATACTTATACAATAAATATTTTTTCGTATATAAATAACTCCCAACTTCAAATAGATTCACCAATAACTATAGTCATAGTTCCTTGATACCTGTAGCATATTGCAACATCTCTCACAAATCATCCAAGGGTATTCAAGGTTTAAAGATGCTAATTTATTATAGTTCTTTTTCCTATAAGTAATAATCTGATAATTCAGATATTTTTTCATCAAATCTCCTATACTTACATTCTCGTCCTTTGTCACATAGACTTTATGGATACTGTTATAGTTACTTTAAATAAAGAGTTTCTTCACTATTAGTAAAAGAGTCATATGAATTGGGAGAGAGGAATAGACTAATAAAATTGGTCAGTGCAAAAAT